TCCTCGTCTTTTTTTCAGCAGCGCCGGGCGGAGGACGGATATTTGGTCTTCAGGCCCTCTTTGAAGTTGCGAAACAGAACCCGGTTGCGTTTGTTCTCCTCGTCTTTCCTAGCGTGGAACTCCCCCTGGATCTTGAAGCCGCGGTGCACCACAAAGGCAGTGCTCAGGACGGAGAACCTGTATCCGGCCACGTGGAGCTCACAGGCCTGGAGGGAGATTAAACAACAGCATGAGGAGACAGACGTGGAGGTGGGAAGTGATGAGAGCGAACGGGGGGAGGTGAGAGAAGATAATGACACAGGAGACGGTTTTGGTATCGAGGGCAGAAGGCGTGAGAACAAAGGTGAGAGAGCGGACATGAGGAAGGAGAGATGAAATGTCTTCTTCAGGTACGATGTGTCAGGGAGAGGCTGTGCGTGGAGTGATGAAACCGACAAAGGTGTGAAGACATTTCCACAGGGGAAAGGAGAGGCTTAGAAAAAGAAGGCCATGAGGTTTAGAAGAGACTACAACCAAAAACGATTTGTGTCGAGCAGATTAATTTAATTTAAAGGAGTCTTCACACCTTTGATATAATACTTTCCTAAAGTTGAGGAACCTGTGAGAGGTCAAAGCTGATGCAAGAGAGGCAGACGTCCTGATGATGATCTCGTCCTCAGTAAAGGTGTGTCCACAATCACGTGTTTTAGTGTTAAAATGTGTACCTCTTACTGCATTTACATCCTCGTCTGAAGTTTTAGGAAGCTTAAAACTCCATAAAAAAGCTGCTGACCCAGTTTTAGTCTGAAAAGTCCAGGATTATAAAAAAAATATATTTTATGGGATTTCATCCTGCTCTGGGTCACATCCTCTCCCACTACTGTGACTCATTAAACTTCATTTGTGATGACTCCTAATCTCTTGTCCATCTCCATGACCTCTTTACACTTTTGTGTTACTTTTGGTAACTTCCATTCATTTTCCAAACTGTTTATAGTGTTTATGTTAAATGATCTGCTATAATGATAAAGTTCAGCCAATTTGAAGGCAGGAAGTAGAAGCAACTTAAATAATACGCGTGTGAGATAACAGACTTGTCAATAGCACAGCTCTATCACTAAGATATGGGAGAGTATTTAAATTAAAATAATGTTTAAAGGACAGTTTTTATGCTTTCAGCTGCAGCCTTGGTGCCGTTTAACAGAAGTTTAAAACAAAGACATTAGATACTGTTGGTCTGTGGGATCTCCAGCAATGGCGATGCTATTATTAGAATTGATTATCAGTAGGGGGTAATCTCTAAACTTGAACTTAACTTGTTATTCTATCACAGGGCTAACACAAAAAGCCGATCCCACTCACAGCCTGAATCACCAATTAACCTGCATGTATCTGCAAGAGGGAGTCGGAGCAATAGTGATATTTATTGATAGTGTAAAGTTTCTTTAAAGGCAGAAAAATGACTGGTAGCATATATTTGTGCACATGCTTTTGAATTTAGTCTACAATTTAATTTAAGCAATTCATCTCCAAAAGTTGATTCTGTTAATCTGGACGTAGCGTTTTGTGGGGGAAAAGTTTCGTCACTCATCCAAGTGACTTCTTCAGTCTCAGCTGACTGCAGGTTTTCCCAACCTTATAAACAGTACATTTGCATAATGACTGAAACCAGCCCACTACTTCCAGATGAACAGAATCAACTTTTGGAGATTTACTTTCCTGGATGATTGAGAATGTATCAAGACGTTAAGCAATTCATCAACAGAGTTTTGGACCTGGAAAAAAAAAAACCTGAATCTTTTAGTGCAAACAGAAATAATAAAGAAAGTCCTTGATGATAGAAAAAGTGAAGAAAAAGCCTCCATCTGAGTAAAGAGTGAATAAACTGCAGACTTCTGTCAAACTGTGTTTGCAGATCGTACAGAGTAGTAGTGCACCAAGTACTTCTTCCTAAAATGAAAATATACACAGTCAAATTAAGAGATTTAAATGCAGAGGTCAGCAAAGCTGTCGACCACTTTCCAGTTTTTTAAAAATACAGCAAAGTATAAATACTGCTGACTTTGGTTTACTGGGACCTGAGCTTTTAATTTTAGAAGGCTGATTGTTCCAGCCACCAAACACCTGGAACAAGCTGCTGCTTTACTCCTTTAGTCTAAGAGCGATACAGATGCTGACCGTGTGTGGTAGCTCTCTCCTGTATGTTCAGTGATTGTTGTGGTTTTGTATTTAAAGACCTCATCGGCTTCAGCTAACAGGCAGATCTTCTTGAAATCATGACCACCTTTCTCATACCAACCTGGCTGATACGATTGAAGCCATACTGCTTGAAGTTCTCATCGTAGAGAGGCACAGAGCGGTGCCCGATATAAAAGGGCTCCCAGGGGTCCACCCAGGTGAGCGTGTAGGCAACTTCCAGGGTTCCCGTCTCTCTGACGTGGCTGTTTACCCACTGTGAGTAGTTGGTGGGGGCCTGACAACGAGGACACAGCTCTTCATAAAAGGGCCGGACTTCACCGACCTGGTAGAGCTGAACCAGCTCTGCCTTGGTGGCTGGCATCTTCCTAGCGTGGCGGATCTCGAAAGCTGGTAGGACGAAGACCTCATCACTCGCTGGCTCACGCTTGGCGATCATGGCCATGAACTGCTCATGCAGGTCGGCGCTTGGCATCATGTCCATGTCAATGACCAAGATGTAGGAGGACTCCGTGCCCCCTCTGGCGATGTTACGAAGAAGGTTGTTGGGGTAGGAGATGTTTCCGCTCATGGCATAGTTCTTGTACTTCTCCCCGTGAGTCTCCAGTCTGGAGAACACTGAGGCACAGTCCTCAAGACCTGCAAAATGCTCACGGTCCTGCTCCGGGAAGCTGGCCATCTCTCCAGAGAGGCAAACCAAGTGGAAGTCCACCAGGGCTTGGATGTGAGGGCAGAAGAAGCTGAGCGCATACACCAGAGCTGTGGCAAACTTCACATCTTGGCCGTGAGCGAATATGGCCACAGAGATGGGGTTCTGCCACCTCTCCAGCAAGGACTCCAGGTAGTGCAGGTTGTTGATAGTGGTGTGTGTAGCTAGAGCCAGGATGTTGGAGCTGGGGTCAGATCCCGGCTTCTCATTCGTGGTGAAGTCACTTTTGATCAAGTTCTTGTACACTCGGTACTGCCCGCTGTTGTCAAAGATCCCGCCGGTGGACAGTGAGTACCTCAGGCGCTCCTTCCGCGAGTTTTTCTCCGGGTGGGCATTTTTCTTGGCCCCGGAGCCTCCGAAGAGCTCCGAGTATCGGTACCGCTGCTGCTTTCCGTGAAACTTGGACAGGAAGGACAGGTAGATGAGCTGCAGCAGCGCCACTATCAGCAGGGCGCTCAGCACTACTTTGAAGGCGGAACATTTCTTGGAGAGATGCATCCCAGACAGGCTGCAGGACACAAAGAGGTCCGAAAACCACAGCTGGATGCCTCTTACTGCTCTATTTCTGTCCCAGCTAGCGTCACCGACACTGGCGCCTCGGTGCTAACTGCAGCCTCCTCGGCTGGAAATGTAACGAATACTCGATCGCATGTTTTCCAAGTTAGTGGCAGCGCTGACCTAGATTTCCACACGACTCAGAAAAGAACAAATAAAGCGATCATCCAGTTTCTGTGATCTCCATCAAAGCACAGCACAGTTGTCAGCAGTCTGCTGCTGCTGCGACAGCGGCGCACACCGATGTGTTATAACCGTAATGACGGACGCAAAGGCGCCGCTGAATTTACTCCTGGAGAAGTGTTTGCGCTTGTTTTTAATTTGTCCTAAAGGCCAATGTGTGAACCAGGGGATGTTCTAAATACGGTGCCACGTTACGTGAGAACGAAGTCTTTAGAAATAAGCCAAATAAATATGGACACTAGTCTTCTAGGTTGCCCTTGAATACAATTTGCTGTAGCGGTAGACACATTCAGACGAGGTGGCCGAGTGGTTAAGGCGATGGACTGCTAATCCATTGTGCTCTGCACGCGTGGGTTCGAATCCCATCCTCGTCGGTAGCTTTTCACTTTTTCCCACTTAATCCCGAATCACGTGTTTTGTCAGTTACGTAACGCCATATGTTTAAAAATAATCTCAGTTGCACAGTATCACTTGCTCACATTAGTCCAAACGGACCATGAGGTTTAAATTACAAATGAAGGAGCTTCAATCAATCTGCCTCAATCCCATATAAAACCCAGAATGAATACTATAAAGTGTAGCTATATATATATATAGATAGAGATAAATATAGATACGTGCAGATATGGCAGTGCACACAGACGCCCAGAGAAAATATCATCTCGCATTTTTTTATTGTATTTGTTAGATTTTCTTTTCCCCTGTCTCAGTTTACTTTAGTTTCCAGAGTTAATCTGATATTTTAAGGTTTATTTTTTTTTGCCTAAGAGTTTTTGGTGTGGTTCATTCTAGTTTTCATTCTATAGTTATAATTTTTGTTGCTGTTGGTTTTGTTTTTGGTGGTTATTTGTCATAGGTAAGATAATAAGTTCACAAGTACACGGCTCTCTACCACATACTCGTCTCAACTAAACATAAGCTCCAGTGTCTTTTAATGTTTGACAAAACTAAACTTACAAATTTACAACTAAAGACATTTTTTGTTTATTTTTTGGTTTAGTTTTGCAAACAATCAACATCCTTTCCATTTTTCTTTAAAGTGTGGTGTTTCAAAGTCCTTTCAGTTCCCCACACTAAGTTTTAATTTTTGTTATTTATAATTGCCTTGCAGACAAATTAGGAGCAATCCAAAACCTGGACACCAAAATCTGTTGGCTGACCTGTGGTTCTGCTCTTTCTTTGCTTTAGAATGAAAGTGAGCACATAGATGGCTCGGTGTACCTTAAAGGTATTATATCTTACTTTAACTGACGTGTATTTTCCTGATACATTTTAGGTGTTTTCTGTACTTGATGAACAAAGTTATCTTCCTTTCACTGTGTCCAAAACCTTTGGTGAGTGGCAAACTTTTCACTCTCCCAGAAAACCCCCAGAGGTCTTTTTATAACTCCATACAAAAGACTTTCCCTATCTTGAAATCAGTCTTAGATCACCATGCTGAAGGATGTCTCAGTTTCTGAACGTCATGATTTGACAGAGCTATAATAAACGATAGAGGTTTATCCTTTGAAAGCAGGTGCTGCACATACAGGCAAATATACAAACCATGTTATGAGAGCGACTCTTTAAACTAGTCCTTTTTCCTTCACCATTCGTGTGTGAGAACAATTTATGATGCACTTCTGTTGAACCTCGTCTCATTTTGTTTAAAACTCTTGTTGGCGCCACTCCTCATGGAAGTGATGAGATGAACTGAGGACAACAACAAAACACAACTGTGACATTTTTTATTCATGATCATTAACAAAAACAAAGGCCTTACAACACATTAACCGTGTGGACAGTGCTCAGGGGGTCCTAGGAGGCATTTCCTCAGTTATGGTGGGTTTTTATTATTAAGGTGTGACAGTTACACTTCCAGGTTCATCACCCCTGAACACAAACCAACCTCATTCAGAGCTAATACTCTACATGGCTCATGTGTGGAGCTAAACGAGCTCAGAGGAAACGAACTCTCACAGAGGGAGGCTGAATGTAACGTGTCTGTTGTTAAGTCTGATGATGTACTTAGAGTAAATTTAGATGTTCATGCTAAAGACGAGTGCTTTTTAAATGCCTTCATGGACATGAACTTTTGCACATCTTTCAAAATGATTTATTTTACTGGATGTTTAGGTGTCCCATTTCTTCTTACTTTTCTAAATTACTCTTTAATTTTGGCCAAACACATTAGCACATTATCATTATTGTGTGGAAAAAACACTTTCAATAATCTTAAGACAGCAAAATCATATTTTTAGCTGCTCCTGTGTGAGTGCGGGTAAATGTTCAGGTGGTTGAATTCAATCAGTGAACTGATGTCACAGTATTTCAGCATTAAAAAAGGCAAACATAAGACAGCTTTAACTTTCACACTGAACATAAGGAAGCAGAATACACCTGCTGCAAATTAACAAGTGCGTTAGATTAAGCAGAGATTTCAGTAAACTTCAAATCCAGAGTTATCCTGCAAAGAGTTTGTTTTCCACCTAAACTGTGTGACTCCATCTACGTGTTCAGCACTGCAGAAATCAAAGGGCCCTGCTGTCACTGTCCATGCTCACTACCTATGAAACTAAAACACCGGCTCCGCTTTTGGATCCGCCTCCTTCGCTGTCCCTGGAGGGAGCGGCTGACTGGCCCTTTTCCTCTCCTTCGCCCTCTCCCACCAAACGTATGTTGTAGCGTTCCCTGTACTCTGTGAGCTCCCGCCCTTTCGTCTGCATCTGTGAGTTGATGGACTCGATTATTTTGGAGATCTGTGAGGACAGAAGGAGGAAGAAAATTAAATTTTGAGTTAAATAAGTGTCTGAGTACAGTATATGAAGCTATTAAACGCCAGAGCACTCAGTGTTGAAAGAAAAATTGTAAAATGCTCTCATTTCCTCTTCCATCACCTGTTCTTTATTGTTTTCCAAGGCAGGTAGAACTTCTTTTACTGTCCTCTCCACCAACACTCCTCCTATTAGACGAAAGCATTTCCTCGATGGATCCACCTCCTTCAATGTGTCTATTACTAAGCTGAATAGAAAAACAGAAATGTTAAAAAGAAAACTAATTCAACTCAAAAGGTATCACAGGAATGCCTCAGCTAGTAGCTGACATTGTGATTCCCCAGACTGTAAAATATTTGCAGCTAAGAACATGCATTCAGTGTTACATTCACATGCACCACTTGGTCTGCCCTAGGGCTTATTACGTATTTAGATGCTTATAATGTCAGGCCATAAGTCTCAATTAACCTCCACATCCACAAGTCCACTAGGATCATAAATTTCATCATCAGACTGTGAGGGTCCATGTGTCTACGAGGACTTATCCACGGAGACTTTATTTCACCATGCACCGACCACACATGCACTCTGGGAGGTGAACTTAAAAGAAGTATAACAGGAATAACGACTCAGCCATCAGGTCTTCCACCAAGTATATTAATACCCATACAAGTATATCTGACACCTCATTTAAGCATTTATTTATTTTTTATATTTAAACGTTTTAAGATCAGTTACTTAAACTCAGTTACCAAAGTAACTGCTGCAAACCAGCCACCTGTTCTGGTTGTGCCAATGAACTGTTTGCAATCAGTACTGTTTGCAAACATGCAAACGTTTCCTAATACTGGAAGTGAGAAATAAACACTTGCTGTGTGTGTTTTTCTATCATCTGTCTGCTTTGTCTGTGTACACGTGTGTGCGCACACATTTGAGCCACACATCGTACATTTGAGAAGGCACACAGTAAAACCATAAAATAATTTAGCTGCTTCCCAGTGCGTGTTGCAAGCCATGGTCAGATGAATTAAACTCCACCATCTTGGACTTCTGCTCTGAGATCCTCAATGAGCTGGAGGGGCACTGGAGCTACAACCTGAGCTAGAATTTGACGAGGACCTAGAGTCAAGGCATGACCCTTGATGCCTAGATAACGTCTATCGCCACTAGGATTTCATTCTGCTGTCATAGCATCGGAGTCGTCAAATAACATAACTGAATTTTGTATATCAATAAATCACGTTCAGTTCTCTCTTTCTTGAACTGCCGCATGAAACTTCTTTGTAAATGTAAACTGTTTAGAGCGGATCAGAAGGTTTGTACCGACCTGTGCTCGTTGATGTCCATCTCCAACTCTGCAGCTTTAGAAGCCATACTGCGCTGTTCCTGACGCATCCTCTGAAATGTTGCCACCACCTGCCACACAAAACCACAGTGAGCACCATCATGGACCAGCAGAGCTATTGCATATTATTTTTATATTCACGTTTCTTGGAGATGACTGGACATGTAAGCATGTCTGATCCACATATAGTTAAGGTGTAAAAGTCTATGTAACCTCACTTAACAGAAATTCACACATTTTCAGTAATTTTTTGGCTATATCATAAAAATAATGGCATTTTAATTTTGAGTAACTTAAACACCTCCTGGTGATCAAAACCACTGAGCCCTGTTTCTACCAGTGGGGGCTGTGTGGAAACTGTCAAGGAATGTTCACATTAACAATTAACCAGGCTTCACTAAAAACACATAAGTTCT